TTGAGTTTATCCTGTTTGATTTCTGATTCTGGGACATTTGTCTATAAGAAATGTTCAAAGCACTACAGCATTATTAGAATCCAGCAAGAACTCTGGGAAAGAGTTTTAAAAAACTCACCTGAAGATGCTCTTTGCACAGATTTTAAGAAAGACAAACAGAATAGAGAAGAACCATCCATCCCCTTAGTGCAGTGGAGAGAAAGAACCATCTGAAGTAGAATTACAACAATCTTCATCTGTTAAGTATAACTTTTCTTCCCTCAATAAGTTGTCCAAATACCATTGTATTAAGTGTCTCCTCATTCTAAATGTATTGCCTAGTCTTAAGACTTCTTACAATTAGGACACTGGCTACATTTCAAAAGTACTTCATTGGTTCTGAACCATTTCGGGAAATCCTAATGTGGTATATGCATCTCAAATTCTCTCTCCCTGCCACTTTGAATGATCCAACAATCACAGTGCAGGCTCACAGAAATCCAATGTCCATTTAGATGAAATAGTAGAAGAGTATGAAGAACTCTATACCAGCAAGACTGCTGTCCTTAGAAAGAAAAGCACCAGGAATCAGGGAGGTTTCTAATCATAGTCATGCTTTTTGGAACAGACAGATAATCATCACTCACTATTTGAACAATATTCAACAGAGACTCATGAGAAGTAACAATGAATTTAAGGTTAGTAATTATTCTTGGAAACAATACTTAAAAAAAGAGGCACTGAAGGTACAGTGTACCAAAGAGATAACAGAAGGTAAAAACTGGACATTGAAATGAATTGTTTTGAATTCTTCTAACACCTTTCTTTAAAGTTTGCACAATGCTTTTCTAAGGGTACCCTTACGTTACAGTATACGAACATTTTAGAGAAAATTTACTACGTCACAATAAAGTGTTGGTAAAATAAGGCAGAGCTAGATAGATTCTTCATTAGCAACGGGTTAACAAGTTATCACAGGTAGGCTGAATGTGGAGTAATCAGATCAACCATGAGTGGCTTGAGTAGCCAACTGGCCTCCAAATGCTTCAAACATTTTATGATTAAATTAAAGTGAACACAAAAACCAGTAAGATAATATAGATAATACCTGAAATATATGTCTGTTTGGAGCAAGTCATAAGACTGTTATACCCTCTCAGGAAATTAATATACTTAATAGAGGCTTTTGAGCTGTTTGTGCTTATTCCATCTACAGCCAACATAACACATTTTAGACCAAAATTGAATAAAGAAATTGTGTGGCATTTGGGTCAAAACTTTCAATCTCTGATTGCTAATTGTGAGCAATTCCAGTCTTGTGGGCCAACTTAAATTGAAGTATGGCCGACGGTGGAGATCTGAAATACAAACACAAAAAAGCTGGAGAAATTCAACAGGTCACTCAGAGAGAAGAAGATTGAACTTCAAGTTTGTTGTGAACTGCTGAGTTTCTCCAGCACTTTCTGTTTTATTGTGGGTGAACTTACCTTCCGTATTAATTTAATGGGAAAATGATCCTATCTATATTGTTTGCTAAGAATGCACGGCAGAACTTTGCAAGTTATTTTCCTTTGGTCTTGATAATGTCACCATCTCAGTAAATACTTTAACAATAACAAAGTTGGCACTGTTAGGCAGTGTCTGATGAGCTATATTTTGGTGCCTTGTAGTTCTCTTACTCCACCTGTTAATCTTTTCAACAAGTTCCTCAGGGATATGGAAGAAGCAATGCTCACTCCCAATCCTGGTTTCCATGACAACTGACTTTATCTCGCTGAAGGGCAGGCTTCTTGTGAACACATGAGTCAGAGCTTGGTCAACATGGAACGGCTTATCTTGACTCCTGAAATATATTTTAAAAATCAATTTAACACCATCAACAAAGGAAAGAATGTAATCAAAGCAATTTGAGAAATCTGCTTCTCATACACTGAATGGTAACTCCAGCTTCAAAGACAACATTTTGGCAGCAGAGCAGGAAACTGGGGAGATTTTTATTCGTTCATGGGATTTGGGTGTCGCTGGCTGAGCCAGCATTTATTACCCATCCTGAATTGCCCACTGCAGTCCTTGAGATGTAGGTACACCCACAGTGCTGTTAGTAAGGGAGTTCTAGGATTTGATCCAGGGAAAAAGAAGGATATATTTACAAGTAAAGATGGTGTGTGACTTGGAGAGGAACTTGTAGGTGGTGATGTCCCCCATGCATCTGCTACCCTTGTGCTTCTAGGTGGTAGAGGTCCGATTATGGAAGCAGCCTTTGTCTGTTGCGGCAGTGCATCTTGTAGATCTTAAACACTGCTGCTACTGTGCATTGGTGGTGGAGGAAATAACTGTTGAAGATGTTAGTTGGAGTGCCAATCAATTAAGCTGCTTTGTCCTAGATGGTTGGATTCTCTCTTGTTGGAGGTGGTCATTCCAGGGACTTACTTGTGAGGCATGAATGTTACTTGACCTTTACCAACTCAAGCCCAAATCCTGTCCAGGTCTTGCTGCATTTAGATATGGACTGCTTCAGTATCTGAAGAGTTTTGAATGGTACTGAACATTACGCAGTCATTAGCAAACATCCCCACTTCTGACCTTATGATGGAGGGAAGGTCATTAATGAAGCAGCTGAAGATAGTGTGGCCTCGGACTCTACCCTGAGGAACTCACCATTGTTGGCCATTGTGGCACTGTGGTAATGTCCCTACATCAGGGCCAGAAGGCCTGGGTTCAAGTCCCACCTGCTCCAGAGGTGTGTAATAACGTGTCTGAAACAAGTAGGTTAAAAGTACCTACCCTGAGGAACTCCTGCAGAGATGTTCTAGGGATCAAGCGACTAATCTCCAACCACACAACCATCCTCCTTTGTGCTATGTATAACTCCAATCAGCAGAGAATTTCTCCCAATTCCCATTGATTCCAGTTTCACTTGAAGTCCTTGCTGCCACACTTGGTCAAAAGCTGACCTGATGTCAAGGGCAGTCACCCTCACTACCTCTCTCGAGTTCACCTCATTTGTCCATGCTTGGGCCTAGAACATAATGAGGTCAAGAGCTGAGTGGGCGTGGCGGAACTCAAACTGGTCAGTGCTCAGATTATTGTTGAGTAAGTGCCACTGGATAGCACTGTAAATGACCTCTTTCATCACTTTCCTGATGATTGGGAATGGACCAATGGAACAATGATTGCTCAGGTTGGATTTGTGCTACCTTTTGTGAACTGGACGAGTTTCATTACTGTATTGAAATGAATAATATTTTCTGAAGGTGCCTGCTCCAGGACCTTTACTTCATTTTACAGATATGAGGAGGAAACAAAAATGAAATGCAGAACTACATGAAAATACATTGCAAACTCCATGTATCCACGCATTAGCCTACTAATAACCTACCTATATCCAGTGCTGGTGTAGCCATAATACTGTGAGCAGTCAAACATCTGCACTTTACTTAAAATGAACCCAGCTCTTGCAGCCATAGCAACGACTTGCCAGCTGTTATGCCATGCTCTCATTGGTTGATCAGCAGCAGTCCCTCCCTGTCCCTTACACAGGGTCACATGAACATCACCTTTGGAAGTTAGAACATCTGCGCAACTGAAAGGGAAGCCAAATAACATTATTACTGTTGTCAGCAGAGCGAATAGTATTAAACCGAGGATGGTGAAGGGAAGCAAGAGATTAAACTTCCACAGCTCCCAATGAGCTCCTCTGCAGTCACTGAAACACTGAGTCCAGAAGCAGACATTGTCAACTTCCCTACATAACTTCAGAATTCACCTCAGAAAAAACTTAGCCAGCAGCTCTCTGTTCTTCTTCACGCCAGCCTTTCTGCCACAGTGAGGGAAATTGAAGATAATCCTGTCAAACAGCCTACTTTTCAAGGGTGGACAATCCCGGAGCTTGGTACAATCTACTTGAAAGTAGACTTCTGCTCCTGAAAGACAATTAATAGCCAAGGATTAAGTTCGGTCTCCTGTACAGTATGTGGCAGGTTTAGAGCATTACAAAAGCTGTTTCATCACTATCCAAATTGGAAACGATATGTTTGCCCAGAACATATTATTAATGCACAAAACTGAATATCACAATATGCCATTTTATACAGCAGCCAGCTCTAAATTTACAATATACTAATCAACCTATAAGTATATTTAAATTAGCATAGCAGTCATGTGCCAGTTACAGTTATGCCCCTGCAAGCCACCTCAGCTAGGACTTTCCATTATAAGATGAGCTTCCATTATAAGATGAGCTCCCATTGTCACAGGCTCTCAGCAACTGCTGTAACTTCAACTACAGAGCCAACATATTGCTCACCACAATTAATTCAAAAACACTTCACAAACTTCCTAAAATCTTTTTACATTTTTAGCTTATTCAGTATAACATTCTGGAGTTAGAAATTTAAACAATGACAGACACTAATGCATTTTTTACGTTTAAATAAATGGCACTAAAACTGCTATTTTAACTCAACAATGTCATATTTCAGCAATAGTCAGCAGAATTGTCCAACCACTGATCATTTTGATTGTCACGATGTTGGTATGTGTTTCAGTGAGGAAATAAAGTACAAAGTCTTCTCGAGACTCATTAATCATTAAACTGTCTGGGAATGACAGCACAGTTAGATGGCACACCAACTAAACTACAATATTGATATTTTTAATCAACTTTGTCAGACATGTTATGAGACATGTCTCAGGTAGGTGGGACTTGAACCTGGGCATTCCCAGTCCAGCAGCAGGGATACTATCATTGCACCTCAAGATCCCCAACCTGGGATGTATTCTGCTGATGAATGATAGGAGGCATTTGTGATTGAGTCAATTCAAGTAGGAAAACTTAAAAATCAAGTTAGCCTGAGGGATCTTGTGCAATGGTAATATCCCTGTCTTTGAGGAAGGAGGGCTGTGGGTTCATGTCTCACCTGCTCCAAATGTGTGTCATAACATCTCAGATATGAGTGTGACAAAGATGAAAGAGCCAAATGAAAGCATCACAATAAAACCCAAGGTACAAAATTCTCAATCCATCATCTAAAAACTGAACAATTCCTTAATAAACAGATTATAGTAAGATCTTGTCAGCTTCACTGGTACAAATATCAAAAGCACTCAAAATCAAATTGGCCACAGTTTACAGCACGTCTCAATTCTCTGTACGTGCAACCAGCACAGAAACCTTCAGTAGAAACAGAAAATACTGGAAATACTCATCTGGTCAAGCAGTGGAGAGAGAAAAACAAAGAGTTAACATTTCAAGTCGATGACCTTTCATCAGAATCAGAAAATATTCAAATTGTAACAGGTTCTAACCAAGTACAGATAACTCAGAGGTATGAACACAAAAGAATGAAAGTGATGATGGTAAGAAAGAGTGGTATTAGAAAAGAAAGAAATAGATGGAGTAGAGGTGCAGATTACAACACTAGAATCGGTAACACCAGCTTCTGGGCAGTTTCAAAGCTAACATTATTATAGATTTGAACTGGAAATTAGTTCATAAAGTAACTGGTGTGGAAGTCTAAAGTATTGATTTCCAAATCTTTTGTAGATCGTAAATGAATAACTGTAACACTATGTTACTTTCCACTTAAGCATCATCCCTTGTGAAAATTAATTTGACACATGCTACCAAACATTAATCAGACTCAAAACATTAAATGTGTTTCTCTCACTCTGACAGTGTCCAACCTACTGAGTTTCTCCAGCACTTTGTTTTTATATTATTCAGTCTTTATTCTTCAGAGCAGTTATGCACTTCAATTTTTATTTCAGATTTCAATTTTTCTTCTATCACACTCAATGCAATCAAAACGACCCCTCTTACCCATCAGTATTGCCTCCTCACCTTTCTCTAACAGATAGGTAATATTTTTGGTTGCATTTTCATGCTTCGATATTTCATTTTCACTCTCGTAGCAGGTTGCAACGACCTGGGTGCCTATGTCCATACGATTGTACAGTGATGAAGCAAAGGAGAAGTTCCCCTCAGCCACAAGCAAGGTGCTACCTCCCTGTCTCATTCTGTAAACAAGCTGGGGAGACAACGAACAATAAACTTTTCAAAAGCCTTCTCTAATAAACTAGAAGCCTCATAAATTGAAACCTGTCTGTGCATCATTGATCAGCCTCTGATCAGTGATGGAATTTTTACTTCCCTTTCATATCTATCAGTGACATTTTGTTTTCAAATCCCCTCATCCCCTTCCCAAATTCCGTCAGAATTTTCCCGAGCCCTATGTCCCTCTCAGCTCCCTGTGCTGCTCCAATTCGAGTCTCTCAAACACTCCTGATTCAATTTTGCTCCACCACTGGCTGCCCTAGCCACCACACAGAAAGGTCTGTGCACAGCAGCAATTGTCAGAAACCATAAGTCAACGTGTCCCCTCACTGATGGGAGTGCAAGGACCTTCAGAGCAGCTGCACAGCTGCCCATATTAGAGGGAACATTGCTGTTTGCTGTATCTTTAGCTGCGGAGGCCGTACGTTCTGGAATTCTCTTCCTAAATCTCTCCAAACTCTCTCACCACCAAGGTACTCCTTAAAAGCTGCCTTTTTGACCCAATGTTCTGGGCAGAGCTCCTAATGTCTCATTCTGTGGCCAGATTGCACTACCTCTTCGGACATCTGAATGTTATGGCCAAAGATCAACAGGTCAAGAATCAGACTGTTCAGTCATTTGAAGACCCAAGGTGTAAATACAAGAACCCAAGTGAACGTCATCTTTGAATGGTGGAGCAGTTAATGATGATAAAGTACTTTTGAGTGTTTAAAGACTCTAAAAGTAGGAGCAGAAATAGGCCTTTCAGCTCACTGAGTTTGTTCTGTCATTTAATAGGATCATAGCTGGTCTGATAATTGTCAACTTCACTTTCCTATCTTTCGCCCATAATCCTGAATTCCCCATTGATTAAAAGTCTGTCTATCTCAACCTTGGAAAGACTTAATGAACTCGCCCTCTGTATTAGAGAATTCCACAGATTCACCACCCTCTGAGAGAAGAAATTACTCCTCATCTTTCATAAATGGACAGCCCTTTATTCTGAGATAATGCCCTCTGGGCCTAGATAAGGGGAAACAACCTCGCTGATTCTACCCTGTCAAGTCCCCCAAGAGTCTTGTATGTTTCAATAAAGTCACCTATCATTCTTTTAAACTCCATTGAATACAGGCCCAACCTACTTAACATCTCCCTGGAGTCAACCTATTGAACCTTCTCTGGATTGCCTGCAAAAGTAATATAAATTTCCTTACATAAGGGGATCAAAACTGTTTGCAGTATACCAGCTGTGTAGATTCTAGCCATGTTTCATGGGGTGACATGGTGGCTCAATGGTCAGCACTGTTGCCTCACAGCACCAGGGAGCTGAGTTCAATCCCAGCCTCGGGCAAGTGTCTTGTGTAGAGTTTCTGCATTGTCTGCGTGGATTTCCTCCCACAGTCCTTTGTAGGCTAAGTGGATTAGCCATAGGGTGAGAGAGATAGCAGGAACTGCAGATGCTGGAGAATCCAAGACAACAAGGTGCAGAGCTGGATGAACACAGCAGGCCAAGCAACATCATAGGAGCAGAAAGGCTGACATTTCGGGCCTAGACCCTTCGAAACGTCAGCCTTTCTGCTCCTATGATGCTGCTTGGCCTGCTGTGTTCATGCAGCCCTGCACCTTGTAGCCATGGGGTGGACGGGTTTAGGTGGGATGCTCTTTGGAGGGTTGGTATGGGCTGAATGGCCTGCCTGCACATTGCAGGGATTCTATGATTTACTGTCTAAACGGCACTACTATAATGAAGGTTGTTGTTGCAAGGGACACCCGTCAGGCTGCTAGTTACTTAGTGTTGCACGTTTCCCAAAGCCAGGGCCAGCTTGGAGCTCACTCAGATCGGCGGTGCAAAAAATGGTTTACCTCCTATTTTTCACACACACACAAAAAAACCCCAGCACCTTGTGTAAGACTCCTGCACCAACCTGGCCCCATTAACTACGGGCCCAAAATAATTGCCCCGTTTAGTGCAGTGCGCTGCTTCTCCACATGCCAGCCAGGGGCTGCGGAGAATTGGCCTTTCCGACCCCGTGCAGCCCCGGGCCAGTGGTCTCCCCGCTCCTGCTGAAGCTGGCGGAGAAGCTTTCACTGCAAGCTCCCAGGCCCGCAAGCAGCAGCAGCCTCCGCGCTATCATAGAGAGAGAGAGAGAGACAGCCCCAATCCCAACTGCAGGGACCCCACCGGCCTGCCCGCTACAAACACAGCGACACCAGCCACTGGTGCTGAAACTACTAAAGGATAAATGCTAAACATTTCCTGAAGAAGGGTCCCGACCCGAAACTTCGACTCTCCTGCTCCTCTGATGCTGCCTGGCCTGCAGTACTCCTCCACTTCCACACTGTGTTGTCTCTGACTCCAGCATCTGCAGTTCTTACTATCTCCTGCTAAAACACACTGCCTGTCTCACTATGATGCTGCTTGGCCTGCTGTGTTCATCCAGCTCTGCACCTTGTTGCCTGTCTCACTACCCGCCTCTCCCCCCTCTATGTAATTTTCAATCACTTTATTTATTTGACTTTCGTCTCTCGATCCATTATTCCCAGCTACATTTCTTTTCCTTAATACTTCCATGCTTCATGTTTCTTTTCAGTCCTTTCATTCCTTTGATTTCAAGCTGGCTTTCTTGTTAATTTAACTCCTGGGTCTCGTTGGGGATCAGGGGAGGATCTGGATGGAGAGATATTTGTATCATGGATAGTCACAGGTGAGGTGCTGGGAGACTGAAGGGTGGCTAATGTGGTGTCATTATTTTAAGAAAGGCAGTATGGGAAGTGTAGACCAGTGAGCCTGAAGTCAGTAGTGGGTAAGTTGTTGGAGGGGATTCTGAGCAATAGGATTTACATGTATTTGGAAGGGCAAGGACTGATTAGGGAGAGTCAGCAGGCTTTGTGCGTGGGAAATCGTGTCTCACTAACTTGATTGACTTTTTTGAGGAAGTGACAAAGATGATTGCTGAAGGCAGAGCAGTTGACATTGTCTATATGGACTTTAGCACGGCGTTCAGCAAGGTTCCACTGGTAGACTGGTTAGCAAGGTTATATCAAGTGGAGTCAAAAGGAGAGGTAACCATTTGGATACAAAATTGGCTCGAAGATAGGAAACAGAGGGTGGTGGTGGAGTGTTGTTTTTCGGACTGGAGGCCTGTGACCAGTGGTGTGCCACAAAGTTTGGCGCTAGGTCCACTGCCTTTTTGTCATTTATACAAATGATTTGGGTGTGAATATAGGAGGCGTGGTTAGTATGTTGCAGATGACACCAAATTGGAGGTGTAGAGGACAGTGAAAAAGGTTACCTCAGAGTACAATGGGACCTTGATCACCGGCCAGTGGGCCGAGGAGTGTCAGATGCTGTTTAATTAGATAAATGTGAGGTGTTGCATTTTGGTAAGGCACTTAATGGTAAGATCCTGGGGAGTGTTTCCAAACAAAGGGACCTTGGAGTTCCTTGGAAGTGGAGTTGCAGGTGAACAGGGTAGTGAAGAAGGTGTTTGGAATGCTTGCCTTTATTGGTCAGTACATCGAGTATAAGAGTTGGGATGTCATGTTGCAGCTGTACAGGACGTGGGTTAGGCCACGTTTGGAACACTGCATTCAGTTCTGGTCTCCTTGCTGTAGGGAAGATGTTGTGAAACCTAAAGGGTTCAGAAAAGATTTATAAGGATGTTGCCAGAGTTGGAGGGTTTGAGCTGCAGGGACAGGCTGAATAGACTCGGACTATTTTCCCTGGAGTGTGGGATACTGAGGGGTGACCTTATAGTGGTTTATAAAATCAGAAAGGGAATGGATAGGGTGAATAGCCAAGGTCTTTTTCCCAGAGTAGGGGAGTCCAAAACTAGAGGATTTAAGGTGAGAGGAGAAAGATTTAAAAGGGACCTAAGGGGCAACTTTTTCACGCAGAGGGTGGTGCATATACAGAACGAACTGCCAGAGGAAGTGGTGGAGGCTGGTACAATTACAACATTTAAAAGGCATCTGGAAGGGTACATGAATAGGAAGATCAGAAGTCACACGATACCAGGTTTTAGTCCAACAGGTTTATTTGAAATCACAAACTTTCGGCTGCTTCTTCATCAGGTGAATGGACTATAACCTGGTGTCGTGTGACTTTTGACTTTGTCCACCTCAATCCAATACTGGTACCTCCGCATCATGAATAGGAAGGATATAGAGGGATATGGGCCATATATTGGCAAAGAGGACTAGATTACCTGAGGATATCTAGTCGGCATGGACAAGTTGGATTGAAGGTTCTGTTTCTATGCCGTACAACTCAATGATTGTATTAGGGGGACGGTCCGAATGGGGATCCGGGAGGATCTGTGTGGAGGTCAGGGTCTTTCAGATGCATGCTATTCAAAAACAGAGGGAGACAGAAAGCAGGAAACTATAGACCGGTTAGTTTAATATCTGTCATTGGGAAATTGTTAGAATCCATTAAGTAAGTAAGAACAGGACTTTTTGAAAGACAAAATAGAATCCATCAGAGTCAGCATGGTTTAATGAGGAGTAAATCATGTTTGACTACTTTGGTAGAGTTTATCGAAGATGTAACCAGCAAAGTGGATAATAGGGATCCTGTAGATGTGGTGTATCTAGAGGCATTTGATAAGGTGTTGCCCAAAAGCTTATTGCACAAAGTAAGATCACATGGAGTTGGGGTAATTTATTAGCTTGGATGGAAGATTGGCTAACCAACAGAAAGCAGAAAGTTGGGATAAATGGGACTTTCTCTGGTTGGCAACACATAACTGGAGAGGTCCCACAGGATTCGGCCCTTGGGCCTCAACTATTCACAATCTATATTAATGACTTGGATGCAGGGATAGAAAATACTATAAACAAATTTGCAAATGACACTAAAATAGTTGAAATAGTAAGATGCAATAAAGAAATAAGAAGTTCACAATTGGATATGGATAGGGTAGGTGAATGGGCCAAAATCTAGCAGATGGAGACAATAAGGACTGCAGATGCTGGAAGCCAGAGTCTATGGGTGTGAGGCTGGAAAAGGATAGCAGGTCGGATACCATCCAACGAGCAAGTAAGTCAATGTTTCAGGCCAAAACCCTTCATCAGGACAGTCCTGACGAAGGGTTTCGACTGGAAGCGTTCTCCTCGGATGCCGTCTGACCTGCTATACTTTTCCAGCCTCACACATTTAGCAGATGGTGTTTAACATGAATAGTTATGAGGTCATCCATTTTGGTTGGATGATTTGAAAGACAACTTAATATCCAAATGGAGAGAAACTTCAGTGCGCTTTGGTGCAGAGAGATCTGAGTGTCCTTAGACATGAATCACCGAAATCAAACTTCAGCAAGGTACAATGGAAGGCAGATAAAAATTTGGCATTTATTATTAAAGGAATAGAGTATAAAGTAGGGAAGTGTTGCTGCAACTGTACAAGGTGTTAACTGCACCTGGAGTTTTGCATACAGGCCCCTTTACTTGAGGAGGGATATAGAAGAATTAAGTGCCATTCGAAGAAGGTTTACGAGATTGATTCCAGTGGTGAGGGGTTTGTCTTATGAAGAGAACTTGAGCAGTTTAAGCCTATACTCTCTAGAGTTTAGAAGAATGAGAGGGTATCTAATTGAGGGATAAAAGATGCTAAAGGGGATTGACAAAGTAGATGTAGAGAGGATGTTTCCTCATGTGGGGCAATCTAGAATGAGAGGTTTTAGTTTTAGGATAAGGGGGTGGCAGATTTAAAACAGAGATGGGAAGAAATTACTTTTCTCGAAGGATTGTGAATCTGGCTGCAAGGGTGGTAGATGCCAGGTGAGTAAGTAAATTTAAGGAGGAGATAAACAGATCTTTAGTTAGTAACAGATTAAAGGGTAATGAGGAGCAGACAGGAAAGTGGAGAAATGAGATTAAGCATGATTGTATTGAATAGCAGATTAGGCTTGAAGAGCAGAATTGTCTATTCCTGCCCCTAGTTCTTATGTTCTATCTTACTGCACAGTTCAATTTCGTCAGCATAAAATCTCTGATCAAATCAAAGTACTATTCGCAGCAGCTGGACAAAAACCTGGATGCTGCCCTAGCAGAGTATGTCTGACAAATTCATGTTCTAATTCCAGAGTTTGGTTTGAGAAAGGTCTGCAGAGATTCATACTGAATACAGCTTGATGTTTAAGCCAGTATAAATGCCAAGTACATTCACTGGTATTGTACGCAAACTAGTTTCTACTAAAGTTAACGCTTGGGGCTAAGTGCTGTAAATTGCTGGAATCAATCTAGTAAACCTCTTTTGAACTGCACTTAAGTCTTCTATATCTCTCCTCAAGTAAAGGGGCCTGTATGCAAAACTCATTAACACCTTGTACAGTTGCAGCATACTTCCCTACTTTATACTCTATTCCTATTCCTATTCTTTGCATGTAAATTGATTATTAATTGGAAACACAGGTGATTTGATAGTGGTCAACAGAGGTGGAAATTAACACGGGTTAACATGTTTTATTCCCATCAACAAATTAACATGTTGATGGGAAGTAAAAGTTTAGTTGTGCATGAAAGCACTTCTGGATGTAAACAAAAAGGAAACTTTGTGTCTACAATTGGAAATCAATGTGTGACTTGCTTTGCTGGCTCTGTGATGTAATTAACAATGGAATTAGGTATCAGTCACCAAGTCCCATTTCCAAGGCAACCAATACCTCACACATTGTTGCTCAGGTTAGTTGCAGGGCTCTCACTCGGTCAGCTGCTGTGGCCAGATTATAGACCCTCACACTTCATCATGGCAGCCGATGACCAATTCTTCTCAGAGGAAGACACATGTCCAATTTACCGGGGTCCATCGGATCGTTTCGGATCACATATCGAGTATAGCCCTGACGGGGATAACCGCTATTCTCCGCAAACTCTCATTGGAAAATGGTTTGAAGAGAGGATTGGGATCAATGAAATTAGGAAACTGAAGCCTTTGACATCACAGGTAATCAATGTTTTTAACCTGGCTTCCTTCCTGGTTGGAGACATGTTTTGTTTGTATTGGTTTGATCTGTCATTACTGATACAAACCGTAGGTTAACAGTCCTGATGGGTTAAACTGACTTGACATTTAGTATTTGGGGATATTTCTTGCACTGCTGAGCGAGTGATCCCTTCATCTGTACTGCCTGTGATCTTATTGTGCATCATCTAGGTCTCTGCTTTACTTAAAGGTTGACTATTGTCTGGCTCTTGGAAGATCCAGCAGACCCCTTTACTTACACAGTGTAGTACATTACGTTGATCTCTTCATTACAGCTCTCTAGGAGAGGTCATTCCATCCTCTGTTCAGTCTTAATAACCTGTGACTGATGTCAGTGTTACATCTTCTGAAATTAACATAGCATTTTCATTATACAACCTGTACTGAGGATTAATTATTCACTTATTTTGAATTAAAAGAGAAATCCAAAAATGTACTGGGTGGGGTGTGAAGTTTTTCATAAAGTTCACAAGCTTTTAAATAAAGTTTTCTTTATGATTTTTTTGAAGGATATATTGTGGGCCTATACCATCTGAAGTTTAGAACAGTGAGAAGTAATTTAATAGAAATGAGCAAAATTCTGAAGTGGTTTGTTGCAGTAGATACTGACGGGTTGTTTCTTCTAGCTGGCTAGGCTATCCAGAAAAGTGGGGAGGGGAATAGTGTAAGCATATGAGGCTGATCATTTGGAATGAGAGAAGAAATTTCTTCACTCAAAGCATGAATGTTTTAGTCCAGAGGGTTTTGAAGGCTGTAGGGTATATTTAAGGCTGAGCTTTCGTCTCTCAGGGATTCAAGGGTTAAGGACAGTGGGCATGAGAAAGGAACTGAGGCAGAAGATCAGCTCTGATCATTCTGAGTGTCAGAACAGGCTCAAAAGGCCTTGCTTCTACTTCTTAGATTCTCATGTTCTTATTTTTCTGTGTTTCAGTGATAGCAGAGTCAGAGGACTGTATTTAAGTCTCACAAGTCTCAGTTACCACTCTATCTCAGTTCTGATACAGTCCAGAAGAGCAAGCCTCTCAGTTTCTTGACTGATATTTATCCATTTTGATAATAAGGTTAAACATAGTGATAGATTCAAGCAGAGACTTACCAGGGTGTTGCAGAGAGAGAAAGGGCAACCAGCTTTGACTCATAGATAAACTGGTATCTTGAAATAGTTCAGATGTTGCAGTGGTAGTAATGTTGAAGCTGTCAGTGTTTAGTGCCATTTCTCCACTGAAACTGACAGCAAATTTGAGAGACTGCAAATTCACTGGATAAAGTGGAAATCTAGAAGTCACTCTTTATGATTCTGTGACAATGCAAAGGGTGTGCTGCTGAGATTGCCCCCGACTCTGCAGAAATGCGATCGATGGGAAATCTATGAATTGACGCTACATTCCACTTATGCTTAAAACCAAATTACACCTTGTTGAATAAAATGTACCTGGGTTAATAGATAATTACTCCTAAACACTCCCAGTGGCCATAAAAGTCCATTTTTTTTAATGTCACACAGCTCCTGTTTATTGACCACAAAGGTCTGCAAGTTTCCGTCAGGATGCTGCCTGTCTTTTATCAGGACCTGATCAATGTCTGGAACATGGGCAACTTGCACTGGGTCTTCCCAGCGTCGGGAGTAGAGGCTACCCTCAGCATTCTGCACCATCGTGGGTTTGAGTGGCTGGCAGAGGGGAGGGCCGTGGCTGCAGGGGGTGTTACCAGAGTTGGGGATGTGCCGACTGGCAGAGGCCAGGGCTGGATGTTGCTACAGGAATTGGCAAGCAGGGCAGCAGTGGACATCCAGCTCATGGCTGATGCCTTCCGTTGTCTGAAAAAGGCGTTGCTCGGACCTGACTTAATGTGCCAGTTGGGAGGATGTTCAGGTATGCAGTGGAATCCCGTCTCCGTGTACCCCTGTTCAAATGGAATTTCACATTGATCCCAAGATCATGAACCTCCCTCAGGAGCCTGCATCCTACAACCTGAACCGATTCCTGAATATGTGTAGTGTGTCTTTCTGCTTTCTGTAAAGGTGGTTTTTGTACTGCTGCACACCATCCACCTCGAATCTTAACATCTACTGTCCAGACACACCTTAGCATGTTTATTTGTCACCAGGTGGTGGGGATCACCATTGGAGGGCTCTTTACACGGGAGTCCTCCCATTTTCCATCGGGGACCTGGGTTGGAGTGTGTTACATGCAGCAGTCCTGTATAACTGCAGATTGCAGCAGTTCATGGACTCCCAACTCAACTGTTTATTTTGCAACACTGTGGAGTCTGTGGGCCCTGTGTATATTGGCCATGGGTGTTTGCCCTCCTGTTATAGTTATTTGAAAAATCTTTTGTTGTGTTTTTCGTCGCATTTTAGCTCCATGCTCCTGATCTTTGCACACCCAGTACGGAGGGGCGTGCGCAGATTGGAGGATCTCCTCATGGCTCTGGTCCTGGGCCTGGCCAGGCTGGCTATAAGTGGGCTGTGGGGGGAGTTGTTTCTGCTAATTGCCTGCCCTCTTCTGCAGTTATGTTTGAGCCTGGGTGTCATTGGAAAGGGAGCACACAGAGTCCACTAACGCTCTTGATGCCTTTAGAGAGAGGTTGGCACCACAGAGGATGGAGTGCTTTATTTCCCCCTTCAACTCCATTTTGAATAGACCCCTCCTTCTCTCTCTATCCACCCCCATCATCACATTTTTAATGTCAGCATTACCCCTAACAGGCTTTGCTTGTAAATATACAATTGGCCGCACTGTGTTTTCCAGATGGTGGAAAAAATATTATAAACTCTATTCACAATGGTTTATTTTCTTCTGTCTCACTAAGTATAAAATTATGTATACATACTACAGGTGATTTGGAAAAATAAATTTAAAAAGTCAATTTTATATTAATAGAATGGCACATTTCAATTATGATTTTAAAAAAGACATTTTTAGATTTAATTTTGTTTACCTTTATTGGAGCTTTTACCTTGATCCAACCATAATCATTTATTTTTCTATCTGAAAATATTTTAATTCGAAGTGAAGGATAAAATATTTTAACTTCCTACTTTGTTGTCTTTGAGAATACTTCAATGTGATTGGCTGTGTGCCCAATTGCTTTTACTGCTGCTACTTGCCTGGAGATTCCCTGGGGATGATGTATCGGTGGAAAAAACAAGTCCACACCACAGAGATTGCTAGATCTTTGGAGTCTTTGGAGTCAAGGATAACATGATTGTTTTGCAATTGGTCAGAAAATCCAGGCCCATGTTAAAAATGTAGGGACAATGATTTTTAACTAAAGCAGGAGACCTAATTTCAACTCAATTAATGGAGATCATCCTAGTACTCCCAATTAGAAATTGTTCAGCTCATATCACCTAATAAGCTTTTGACACTAAATTCTCATTTTGTTGTGTTATTTCTGAGTGCATAATTTAATAGAGTATTTTTTTGATTGCACAAAAAGTGATGCTTTCACAGAGGTGGACAATATTAGATAAAGGCAGAAATTATTAACATATTTAGTTCCCTTTACTTGCAGTATGAATATGTCTATCGCACAATATATGGGGATTCATATAACAAGGAAGAGAAGCGACATGAATGTAAGTAATAATAGATGGTTTATCATACACTTAAAGTAACAGTTGATCAAGAAAGTACCTTCTATCATGATTGAAGAGGTCAGTTTTATGGGTGCTAATTACAAGGCCATTGTATTTTGAATTTGCAATACTTACCTTTCTAAACTCTTGGATATAAATTTTATCTAATACGGTAACGAGAACTTATGTATAATTAGAGGGTGCCTTGGAACAAAAGGGCATGGAATTTGTGAGTAATCACTGGTGATGGAAGGAAAGCTGCAAAAGACAAGGAGAATCAGAAGAGAGAACAGTGTATGCAGGGATCTAACTAAAGAAAACCATAACCAAAGTAGGTTCAGGATCTGAGGAAGGGTCACCAGACCCGAAAAGTTATCTCTGCTTTCTTCCTTCACAGATGCTGCCAGACTTGCTGACCTTTTCCAGCAACTTTGTTTTTGTTCCTGATTTACAGCATCTGCAGTTCTTTCGGTTTTTATTTAGGTTCAGGATGTGCCGGGACAAGATTTGAAAACGAGGGTGTGAAGATGAAATTGACAGAGTGGGTTAAAAAAAATTAGTGGCACTTAGGATGGGTGTACCTAGAATCCCTCATGCATTGAATATACATCACTAAACACTCTGTTTAAGTCATCAAAATAATCACTAAAATATAAAATGCTTCAGTGGTATGTTCAAATGTGCTCATTTGCCTGTAAATCATTCCAACTGTTATATCACTTGGCTATGTTGCTTTCTGAGGCAGGCCTTCTTACAAGTCAGAAAATATGGTAATAACAGTAACATTGTCAGCTGCCAAATTGTGCCTTACGTACTCTATTAGCATAATGATATTAACTGTACAAATGTCTTTGTGATGGCAGAATATTGATAAGGTGAGTTGAGACAATATATGGAAGTAGACGGAAAGATTTAGAGGTGAAGACCTGATGTATCAGAAACCATACCATACACGCAAATTGAACTATTTTATGCAAAATAATAATGAACACACAAGGCTGCATTAGGTACCAAACAATAACCTATGCTCATTTTTAAAAGAGGGAATTAATCCAGAGTTTAGAGCCCAGATTAGAATGTTCAGCACTCAGTGCCTTAAGTAATGATAAAATTCTTAATTGGAGCTCTTTAATCTATGCCCTATAACCATTTATTCAGCTGGGGAGGTACTGAACTCAAGTCTTTGGAGAGGTACAGCTTATGCAATTAAAATAAATAACAAAAAAGTAATTACAACCTTTTAAAGGCATATGTGAAGTACTGTAAGTTGTACACATCTGTATATATGTGGTTGACATTGCTATGGTATACTTTACTAAAAAAGACGATACATACAAATCAAGAGCAGGAGTAGGGCATCCAGCCTGTACAGCCTGCTCCACCATTGAACAAAATCAAGGCTGATCTGATTGCAATCTAAAATCCACACTCCTGCCTCCTGCAATAACTCTCAACCCCTTGCATAGAAGAATCAATCCACTTCAACCTTAAAAATATTCAAGGGCTCTGCTTCCACCACCTTTTTAGGAAACAAGTTCCAAAGACTCACAACCCTGTCAGAGAAAAATAATCTCTGTTTTAAATGGGTGACTCCTGATTTTTAAGCAGTGACCCACAATTTTAGATATTCCCATAAGTGGAATCAGCGTCTCCACATCTACTGTGTCAAATTCCCAGGGTTTTATATATTTAAACCAGACTGCTTCTTATCCTTCCAAATTTCAGAGGATACAAACCTAGTCTGTTCAGCATTTCCTCATAAGACAACCTGTCCATTCTAGGTATTAGTCTGGTAAATCTTTTCTAAACTGCCTTCTGAAATAGCACCACCGAGGCCTGTACCCCATCAGTAAGTCACCCTTTATCTTCAAAAGCATAGTACTTGACACTGGTCCCGGCTTCCTGAGAGCCAGCTCTCAGAGTGAATAGAACCTCTGATACTCCTGTTTACATCTGTCAGCCAGGGATCCCTGATTGGAGCAGATTAACAGCCCCAATCAGGGAACTCATATTTTACGCTGTCTGACTGGCTAACCCCATTACAATCACTACACTTTCAATGTATTTACATCCTTCCTTAAATAGGGTGACCATTACTATGCACAGTACTCCAGATAGAGACTCATCAATGCCATGTATAAGTGAAGCATAACCTCCTTTTGTATTCAGTTCACCTTGTGATAATTGCTAATATTTTATTAGCTTTCCTATTTACTCGTGCTTACATACTAAAATTTTGCTGGGACTAAGTTTGTGCAGTTAGGTAAGAAATTTTTTTTTATTTTGTAAAATCTAATTTAATTTGTATTTTGCACTTGGCATTAAACTGAATCTACAGTTTAAATTCTGTTGATGCCATCCTTAATAAGTCGGTTTTTCTAAGGATTTCAGTGGAAGAGCAGTTTAATTAACGACCAGCTGAAACTGGATTCTCTTTAGGTGAGTTAGATAGGCCTATTGAGTTAGGATCATACAAAATTAAATAACTGAGTGTGACCCAACACTTGAATGCCATTTAGAATAGAGTTAAGAATTTCAAGGAGTTAAGCAGAGAATGTGAAACAGGTGTTTTATTGCTTTTACCTAAACATTTTCAGCTTCCAGGAATTGATTATTGCTGCACTGCAGAAGAAGAATCTGGTGAGTATCTGGTAAGTGATTATATTCCTAAGGCTCAATATAGTAGAGCTGCTGGTGTTAAGCTTCACAAAATATAATGTGAATACAATGATTAGTTAGTTCCCTAAAACACATTAAGAATGGCAGGGCAGGTGATACATCCCAGGTGCAGCATGTGGAAGTTCCTGAATACCAGTTTGATTCATGTTTATAGCATGTGTTTGAAGTTCAAAAAGTTCTGATTCAGACTTTTGAACCAGATGCTGAACTACACACTATGGCACTTCAGGGATGGGGAAATTTACCTGCATTCTTTTCACCAGGAGACAGCCACTCTTCTTATGGTTGGATCATCTGATCTGGTCAGTGTTTAGGCACAGGAGGATATGACTGAGTGAAGCAGATAAGGGGACCCAGAGGATAGGAAGGCAGAAGCCTCAGCCTTTATAATTGCCCATCGATCGGAGGTTCTTTCAGCTTGTCTGGATGAAAGTGAGGATGGCTAGGGGTAAGGAGCTAACCAACCACAGCACCACGTTATTAATAACAGTACAATAGAATAATTACAACACTTAAACAGTGTGTAACAAGGTATTGTAAGCTTTACATCCATTTGTACCTATGTAGTTGCAAGTGATTATGATATACATTGCTATGCTATACACTGCTGAAAAAAATGATGAAATCCAGTTTAACGCGAAGAAACATTAAACATCACTGTCTTTGAAATGATTCTTTCCTCCAGTTTTTGAAACAGAGCCACATATTTATCCTACACACCAGCCAGAATTGGACCCTCCTCATACCAAACTATTCCCGAAAACCTGTTACATGCTAGACTATGTGGATCCTGCACTCTTAATGTACCCTCCCTGCCCCCCTGATTTGAACAGGGTGGAGAACGAGCAGTTACAATATTGTGGACCCCCTGCTCCATCAGACGCTGATGAGACAGCAGAGAAGAATCAGTTATGTGGTACTTACATCTCTTTAAATCCCAGTTGTCCGACAGATTCGGATGCTCTGCAAAACCAGCAGCCAGAAGTGCCAGGATTTTGTGGATATCACCTCCCTACAAAAATGCCATTAGGATTGTGCACAGCTAGATTTTGTGAGCCATGCAAGCCTACACCATTATCTTCTTCAGGACCAGGTTTGGCAGCATGTTGCTCATCCTCCAATCCCTGAAGCAGTGATGAACAATCAGTGAAGAACCAAAATAATGAAAACTGCAAGAGAATTTTAAAAAGACTCTGTTTTCTTTTAGGAGTGAATTGAAATGGCTGAATAATAAATAGGGAATGATATACCTGTTGTTCCTCTGTTATGAGATTTGTTTAATGTGTAAACAATCTTGTGTCTCAGCCCATGATCAGCTGTCAGAAACAGAAAAACTATAGCAAAATAATGTGGAAAATTATTAAATCCATGATTCAATACAGTGAGTTAAATATCTGCAACAGTTCTAAGTTACTTCATAAAAATTCAAAGACGTTTGCATCTCCACCACCTGTGTTCCTGCAGGAATATTGAAAAGGATTTCAGAAGCTCTTGTTAAAAACTGCATTAAATACAAAAGCTTTACCATTACTACCTGCTTGAATATTTGGCCATTCTAGTTATTGGATTACTTCTTAACTAGTGTTCTGATATTAAAATATGCGAAAGCTAACATTTGTTTGATTTTTATTGAGAATTTTACACAGCACACAAGAAAATTGGACTCGTTTTGCACTTGAATAATTCTCTCTTTTCGCAGCTTTTAGATGTAAGTTAATGGTAATTTTTTAAAATCATGCATTTTTTATGGTAAGGATAACTGAAGGTTATGATTTTAAGTGACACATTATTTTGCAAATGTAAAAACCAAAAACTCTTAACATCGATTTCTGTATTTTTGTTGTGGCTGTGATGGGAGAAGTGTAATCATCTATAGAATAACATTATCTTGAAATTTCTTTTTAACGTCATATTTTAGTTTTTAAGTTCAGTGTTGCAATTTGATTGCACATTCTTCTTTAGGTAGGAGGGCAGTCGATTTAAAACAGTGAATAGGTTCACAACCATTCTGTGACTGGTGAGAGAGCGAGATCCAGGATATTCACATAGGGACTTCACACCTAAATCAGTAAAACTTAAGCTGACTTCTATCAAAAGACATAGTAATTTCCCTTAAAAGTAAATGAAACAGAATGCCGGAAATCTGACATAAGAACAAGAAATACCATAAATTTGGTTAATAAGGCTGAGGCTCTTGTACTTTCTAATTTATGAAAACATAGATTTGCTTTTTTTATACTATTAGCTTTTCTGCCTCTCTAACTTTAGCAAGTCATTCTCATTTACCATCTCTGACTGTAAATGTTGTCACAGTCCTACCAGACCATAGGGTTGCTCTTTCTTGAGAGGGACAAGTGGCAATGGGTTAACCTAAGGCTCACCGTGCCTCAGATGAGGGGAGAGGTTGAAAAGGGGATCCTTCACAGTAACCTCTCCCATTAGGGGAACTGAACCCACACTATTGGCATTATGCTGCCAGCCAACTGAGCTAATCGATCCCCATCTCTGACTGTACCCCAGTATTGTTCTACATTTCCAATGGCTCTATGTCAACATTCAAAAATCTTAGGTGATATACCATCTGATCATTACAATGAGATTTAAGGTACATACTTTCTATTTCTTTAACAGTTACTGAGAGCATTGCCTCACTTTTCAGACAAATAGACCTCATCTTCTGAACTCTTGATGGAATTTCGTGTGACAGAATAGAACATTACATGGCCAGCTATAATTTGCAAAATGGCCAGCTTCAGAAATTACTTAGAAAATGAAATTATGGACAACTAAAGACATATGCTGAAATACGAAATCTGTATTCCTATTAATGGTTACATCTTGTACTAAATGTATGCACGTAGTTCATTCATTAAGATATGTGTCATAATCATTGGTGGAACATTAATAAATGATTTATACAGAGCTATTGTTGTTATCTCAAACAAAGAAAAAAGCCTTAGCCCTGTTTAATGAGAAATGTATATAAATGCATTTAGTTTTACTTTATCTTGTGTTGCAATGGATTACTTAGCATTTTACAAACCAGTGAAGCCAAAGACCAAAGCAAAAGAAACAGGAACTATGCAATAGGTTATTCATATAGTTGACTTTATTTAAATGGAAATTTTACTAAGGCAGTGAAGATAAATGTTTATTGCAGGCTAACAGATTTTAAGGAATGTGTGATTATATAGCAAAACAAAACATTACATTTAAAGCGAAAGGCAATACTTTAATGGCTTGAAATCATTTCACATTGAACGGAACAGAAATGATCTACTTTTGCTGAGCTCCAGCAACTGCAGGCTTTTCCTCTCGGCTGATGGGCACAGATCGCTCAGGAACATCAGCCAGCTTCCTGGGACCACAAATTGTAAGTACTCCATCTGCTGACAGGGAGCTGGTGATCAGAGTTGGATCAACTCCTGTTGGAATCTTGTACTTCCGGTGAAATTCTCTAGAAACATAGCCATGTTCATCCTGCAGAATAAAAGATTTGAGAATTAAAGACAGTGTTCAATCAACTTTTCTATGGATTTTACAAGAGAAAAACTCATTCCATTTTCTTTTTGACTATCTTATACCCAGTCAAATAAAGGCAAAATACCACACAACCTAACTTTCACAAATTAACTTTCTCACTCATCAATAGTACAGTTCTGAAACTTTGGCAATTGTTTGAAATGCAAAGTAAAGGCCATTGTGCCCCCTTTCAGTGAAACTCTTTAAAATTCTTTACACGGAGTGCAGGTATTTACTACAGAATGTTTATATTTGTCTATAAATTCATATTTTATTAATTTACAGTGGATTCATGTTTGCAGCCATGTTAAATTCTGAGTATGGTGTTTATATATCAGAATTGTGAACTTACAATTCAGAGTAACACATTTTTGACTGGATAAATATTTTTTCCAAGGACTCAAGAATTTCCAAGTGCTCTAATTTGTATAAATCCATTGTAAAAGAACATGAACTGATAAGTGACTGGGTAGAGGAAAGAGAAAATAACATTTGCGATATGAGAGAATACCCCTCCAATGCTGCATAAATTTCACATTCTACCATGAGAACTTTGGTTTCAATGGAATCTGCTTGAAGTTAAGACTGCTAAATTCATCACATACTTTATTCCCAAAAAATATTATTTACAAAAAATTATTTTAACACTCAGTGGTTCATGAATTTTTACCAATATAATAATGGTAATGCTTATCAAAAGTAATTTATTGGCCATGAAGCACTTTGGGAAGTCCTATATGAATAATGCTACATAAATGCAAGTCACCACAGGCCAATAAGATCATTGTTTGAATATATATTTTGAGTTAGTTAATTTCATAGAGTCGTAGAGATATACAGCACAGAAACAGACCCTTTGGTCCAATTTGTCCATGCCAACCAGATATCCTAAATAAATCTAATCTTATTTACCAGCATTTGGTTCATATCCTTCCAAATCCTTCCTATTCATATACTCATCCAGATGCCTTTTAAATTTTGTAGTTGTACCATCCTCCACTACTTCCATACACGCGCCACCCTATGTGTGAAAATGTTGCTCCATAGGTCCCTTTTATATCTTTCCCCTCTCACCTTAAACCTATGCCCTCTAGTTTTGGACTCACCCACTCCAGGGAAAAGACCTTGTCTATTTACCCTATCCATGCCCTTCATGATTTTATGAACCCCTATAAGATCATCCCTCAGCCTCCCACGCTCCAGGGAAAATAGCCCCAGTCTATTCAGCCCCTCCCTATTGCTCAAACCCTCAAACCCTGGCAACATTCTCGTTAATCTTTTCTGCACCCTTTAAGTCTCACAACATCTTTCCTATGGCAAGGAGACCAGAACTGAACACAGTATTCCAAAAGTGGCCTAACCCATGTCCTGTACAGCTGCAACATGACATCCCAACTCCTATACTCAATGCACTGACCAATAAAGACAAGCATACCGAATACCTTCTTCACTATTCTATCTACCTGCGTCTCCACTTTCAACCTGTACTCCAGGGTTTCTTTGTTCAGAAATATTCCCCAGAAACTTACCATTAAGTTATTAATTCCTGCCCTGATTTGCCTTTCCAAAATGCAGCACCTCACATTTATCTAAATTAAACTCCATCTGCCACTCCTCAGCCCATTGGCCCATCTGATCAAGATCCCATTATACTGTGAGGCAACTTTCTTCGCTTTCCACTACACTTCCAATTTTGGAGTCATCCCAGTGAGCCCAGTTGGGTGTACAACAGTAGCCATTTTTAACAAATATTTTTCAATCAACCTGTTCCAAGATGCTCCATACCTCTGGAGCAGATGGACTTGAACCTGGGTCTGCTGGCTCAGCAGTAGGAGCACTACCACTGCATCACAAGAGCTGAACAACAAGGGACATTGAGTGAAGACAGAATTAAACTCATCTGTGATGCCCACAACAGTCAAATAACTTGCCAATTATCAATATAATGGCTATTGCTTGAACAATGATCACCTAGATACAATTCAATCATGAAATGTTAGATATTAACACAGGATTCACTGTCAAGGTTTTTCGGCTTATCTATAGCACTTGGCCATATTGCAGTCTTGCAACTAAGTTCCAGGAATGATTCTATATTTAATTTTGTGCAACAAGGGCATGTGATGGCTTAGTTCAGCATAAAAGAGTGCTCAATTTTTCAGAAGGGTCTAGGCCCAAAACGTCAGCCTTCCTGCTCCTGTGATGCTGCTTGGCCTGCTGTGTTCATCCAGCTCTACACCGTGTTATCTCAGATTCTCCAGCATCTGCAGTTCCTACTATCTCAGTCCTCAATTTAGACTGGCCTCTATTGGAGTATCTGTTAGCTTGTAACACTGAGCCAATGAACTTTGTCATAAATATTATACTTTACTAAAACAAATTTTGGCTTTTTCAACATCCATACTGGTACATTTCAGTGGTTTTTATGATGGTTAGGCAATTTGAGAACATTTCACAAGTGAATAAGAGATGTTAAAATGTTGTTAAGGTATCTGGCATTGCTCCAGCGATAATAGATCCAGTTAATATTTTTATGCACCACGACAGCTGTGAGCAGTACCTTCTAACACTGTAGTAAACAAAGTTACTAAGTTGGTTGGAATAATTCCATTAATAAAGTTGTACTTAGAGAAATCACAAATCCTTCATTTTGTGTAAAATTGTGGTCTGATTTGGTGTGCTTTCCTTCAGTTGATTTTGATATCTGATTATGGCTAGGTTTCAAATCTTGATGAGGAATCATATATTTAACCACTACAGTTTCAGCTGTCAGCCAAATCATCACCCAGCGAAGGAATCAGCATATAATTTAACTCTCTCTCACTCAAAATATGGTGCATTCAATTTAGACCTGACCAGCAATAATTCGATAAGCTCTCCCACCTGATGCAAGTGGCTGCAAATACAGGACAAGTCAAAAATAAAGCAAAAGTAGGGAAAAATTTGAAATTGTACCTGGCGCTCTTCATGCTGAGCTTGTACTTCAACAAAGTCACCCAGAACTTTCACACGGATTTCTTCAGGAGTGAAATGTTTAACATCAAGGTGAATAGTAAATTTATCCTTGTCCAGTCTCAACTGCAAGAGAGACAGAGCACAGCACATCTAGTTAGGAAAG